AACTTTTTCAATAAAAAGAGGCAATTTATAAAATGGGTGTTATACTTATTTTACAAACAACTATATATAACAAAAATCGCAAAATAAAGTATGTACCTCACGCCTCACTTTCCATGTTGACAAAACTATTAGTTGCCAATAAAAATAATATGACAACCGAACTTATTTTGTCATCGCTTCAAACAAAAAATTATTTAATTCGACGCACGATAGAAAACCCAACTTTGCACTTCTGCTAAAGCTGCTGCGCTGCGTTAAAAGTCAAATTTGTGTGCTACATTGTGGACTGGTTTATAAGGAGTATTAGAAAGGTATGTGTGATAAGATTTAAAGACTTTTCTATTTTTGTCGTCGAAATTAGACACTTTGTCCTTATGTGCATCGTGGCATTCATCTAACACGTTTACTCAAAAGCCTTAAGATTTTTACACAGTATTCCTTATGCACATATATATTACTAAGCAACTGCTTTTTCATAAAGTTTCAGACCTTTCACCCGATTTTATTCAAAATTTTAAATTTAAGAAAAAGGTCTAAAAAGTTAAGGAAAAGCAATTGCTTACTTTTTTATTCATTGCTCCTAATATGGACATTCTATTTGATAACTTTCCAAAGTTATTAAACAAAAACTATTATAATTTTGCGAGTGACCATAAAAAATTGTGCAATTGCGCCTAAATAAACGATTAAAGGCTCAAGTTAATCAAATACCCCATTTTTGCAGACAGTTTTGGGATCTTGGAACATTTTTTGCAGAGCACATTTTTATAACCAAATGGACATATAGAGGGGGGGAGTCTTGCTTTGTGGGTCAAAGAGGAAAAATAAGGCGCACCCTTATGGACATACATAAATAACGTGAATCATAAAATCACAAAAGGCGTATAGAGCCAGGTCATGTGAGCAGAGCGAAAAAAGTTTCTCTACGTAGGACTGCATTGTCGTGGACAAGAAGTCCTACAACAGAAATGTGTTGCGGAAAAGTCATCCCTTTTGTGAAGCGAAGGGTGAAAACTCTACTCTCGACGAGCCGACACTATAATTTATAAATGTATTAGGCTAAAAACAAAATTGCAGAAGTTTGCAATTGGCAAAACATTGATGGTTGTCTCAATCGATAGTATTCGGTAGTTTTAGCTAATCATTGATAGTTTGAAAAGTAAGCGTACCTATTTAAGCCACTTAATTTTACTAAGAAAATTAAATGCTCAACTTTTGTTGTTGTTGTAGAGGCTACTTAGCCCTCCCTAGTGCATCAATCGCTGTCGTCCAGCTCAACTAACAGTAGGTCTAGGCAGTGTCATGCTCAGACTGGGTGGGACCAGGGGTGTTAGTTGAGTTGGATTTAATGGGCAATTGAAGAGGTTATTGCTGTAGTGGGGAGAATCTCCGCATTCTGACCACCATTGGGGATGTTGAGGTATAATCTGGATAAGTAGCTGGCTACAGTATAATGTTTCTTTGTCTGTGACCCAAGTGCTGCCGGCGAGCGATTGGACGACTTGGTTGTGGTTCTGTACTTTTTTGGCAATTACGGCTGTGTGCACCGAGAAAGGGAATATACTGTCCAAGGTTAATCCGACAATTTTCGGTTGGTAGGCCGTCTTTCATCCAAGTGGTAAAAATGGTTGTCAAGAATTTCGTAGGGGAGAGAGTTAGACTCTTTACAGAGAAGAAGCCGGAATGCTTGCAGAGGTAACCGAGCACAGCGTACGAGAAGATGGAGACTCCCTCTGGTGGTTGGGAGAGTTCCGAAATATAGAACGTAAACTACAGCGGGGAGAAGGCACCACCCTGTAGGAAAATGGTATCTACTTTACGATAACTCGCTTTATCCGCGATTTTTTGCTGCTTAAAGTAAAAAGAGTCGACATTTTTCCTTGAGGCTATTCTACAGATAATTAGGCATTTCCGATTTCCCCGCTAAAAAGCAATATGTATTTTATTTTCCAAACATAGGAATGCTTGTTTAGCGTTTGATAGCATTAAAAATTACTTATTTTTTAAACTCAGGAGACTCTGAAATAGTTATTAATTAGTAAATCTTATGTAACATCAACATAAAATAAAATACATGGTCAACACTAGAATGCAGATACTATAAAGGGACAATGCCAGTAGAACATAGAAACTGCACTATAAGCTACTTTCGGCTATTGGAGTTGTATAATCACTATGCACTATATAGTATATAAAATAAGTTTTTACTCACATACCCTAAACGATTTATAGTCAAGATTTTCTCTGTTACACGTCGATGCATTACAATTTCTGGATATGTGCTGTGAAATGTGAAGAAATCGTCAATGCGCTGCTTTGTTTGTTCTAAACTGTAGCGACAGCGCCGTAGGAGCGCAATCAGGAAGTCGGCTGACGTACGTGCACGTAAGTGACGTTGTTGATATATCCAGGTGCGCAATATAATTAGATCCTGTGGAATACGTTCTGGGAATTCATTTAACTCTTCGCGCGCGATTTTCGCCAATTCTGGTGGTAAAAGACGCATCTTCAGAATTCGATTAGAGGATTACTTAATTTGCTAAACAACTGCAAACAATTTATGTACGTCTAAACGTTATTAAAACTGCACTAAAAGTGATTTGAAATATATTTTGCGCTAATTTAAGTACTGCATTAGATTACATATGGTAAAATCAATATCTAATTAGTCACATAAACATTAGATATCAGTTATCAGTTAGAAAATTATATTAATTATTGAATGTAATGCGTATTTTAGTTAAACCCATTTATGTGCGGATTGATGGGCAGATAATGACAATTACTTACATACATAAAAAAATGCAATTTACCAAATACCTGATTATCATGCTATCTGGCGATTTTGCATTAAGCTATAACATTGTTCCAACATCCAGAAATGCTGATAAGTGACTTATAGTGTGTGATTTTTATATGGCTAGAAAGCACTCAGTCCATAGTACATCTTGTTGGAAGACTGGTTGGTTCTGCATCGAATTTCAAGGCTGATAAGCGGTATTCCGAGAAGGCAGAACAGACTTAGCGCTTGTTATTATCGATGATGTCGATGTCGTCGGCACATGCCAGCAATTGCACGGTCTTGTGCCTGAGCTATTAAGTTCTGCAGCTCTTATTATCTTCTCCAACATCAGATTAAAGAAATCAGAGGAAATGGAGTCACCTTGTCTGAGAACTCTTTTGGTATCATACGGCTCAGAGAGGTCCTATCCAATTCTGACGAAGCTGATGGTATTGCTTAACGGCATTTTAACCCAGCCGCTTTGAATTGACAAATAGATGGTGTGTGTCGATTTTATTCTCGCGATTTTTTTCGCAATATTTTTTCCCAATATAGTGAATGCCTGGTCTATGGTGGATTTGCCAGGTCTAAAGCCATGCTGATAATACCCATACATTTCCGTCGTTGGGCGTGGGTCATGGGTTCTTTGTGATCCGCTATTTAAGTACAAGCGTGCCTTGGTACAAGCATTTTTCAGCTCCAAAAATAAAGGGAATAATAGAGATGACGCCACCGTACTGTGATTACAATTTGAGATAACGCCGTGTTCAAATCAGTACACTAGGCTATTGCGTTGAGTTGGTGCGCTGACACCACAAATTTGTCGGCGTTATTGAGTTTGCGCCCCAAAACATACCTCGTCATAGTCAAGCGGAGGGACATCGCTCCCGTCGTCATCGGCTGGGTTCATCTGCTCCACTACTTTCAGTGCTGCTACCATTTGATAGTGTAGAAAAGTGTGCTTTCCCTAACTTCAGTATATTCCGGACAACAGTCACTAGTTCGAGGAGTTTATTCTTACAAGAGTTCGCCCTGGTTTTTCTGGTAAAATTTTCTACCGGTTTTTTTTTGTCGCTCAGCATTTCCAGCTTTTCGCACTTCACGTATTTCGGCATATCGGTGCCACATAGCTCGCATTGCGACCGATCACAGCGTCTACCAGTGGACGGAATCGTTTTGTCCACAGCTTTGTGACATTCTTCATGGTGCAAGTTCGTGCTACTTCGACGGCGGGAGGTGATGAGTGGAAAATGTGGTTTCACTGGTCGTACATATCGGTTTTTGAAGAGTACTGTCGAGAGCAGGTTTGAGAGTCGAGTGGCGAATAAATTGACCGCTTGTTGTCATAGCAGCCTTTATTGAGCTTTCCTCGCATTTCTGGATGAACTATGTTTTGCTGTACACAGGTGTGTGCCCAAGTCGATGTTTGTGACTCTCGGGCCTTAGTCAAAAAATATTAGTCCATATCGAGACGTCTATAACCAAACCCTTAGAGTAAGAAGTTCGTCTTGCAAGCAGAGGGTATCTTGGGCATTCAGTGTTAGAGGCTCTTCTTGGGAAACAAAAGGTCTTTCGGTTCACAGTGTTCTGCTACGCTCACTTTTTTTGTGTATCTTACTATTTTGAGACTAAATGTGCTCTATAACAAAAAGCTTAGCTTCGTGTGACGGCTTGGAAACGGATTAATAAGTGAAAAGGGATTACGTTTCAGTTTTTCATACAATTCTAAAGAATATTTGTATATGTATTTCGATCACTTGAAAATTTTCATTTATGTAAATTTATATGTAAATCCTTTATTTCCTCTTAACATTCAAAACGAAAAAGTACTAAATGCACTTTTAAAAACTCATAAAACGTTGGTGGCATTTTGATTTTGATGTGATGATCCCGCCCCGAAGAACGCGTAAATGAATTCCGCCAACATATGGGAACTACAAGCAATACCCATATATTTCCAACTAAATAGTACTTGTCAACAGATTAAAACACTTAAACATGCAATGAATGATACTTACATACATATGCATGAACATATAGTAGCGGCAACAACAATGTACAAACAAATAACAAAAAATCTCTACAGCAACACACATCGGCAAAAAAAGATCGAATATGCTTACAAGCAGTGACAGTGTCAATTACCCCTTCAGCAGATCTCCTACAACTCCAAAGATCCTACACAAAGTTATCACTCAGAAGAAAAAAAAACGCTAAGAACCTCATGGAAATGGAAGAAGCTAATGAGCCATCATTAATATTATTTACATTCAAACAAGGGTATCAAAAGTCGTTGTCGCACTTCACTGGAGGCATTCTGCACGCAACATCTGAAGTAAGAAAAGAGTGGCTCATATGAGGACGCGGTGAAGTCTATGTAGCGGCTGTATATGCAAACTGTCAGCGAGATCAAAGCATATTTCCATTATTTGTTTTGAATTATTTCAAATAATAAATAAGTGGTGTCTACGGTGATGAGTAGAAGTAACAAGGCACGTGTAGAAACAATTTTCTAGGCGAAACATAGCATCGGCGAGGATAGGTTAGTTGGTTGTGTTGATGTCGTTTGAAAGACGAAAAAAAAAACTGGAAAAGCACTCCACATTTTGCAGAGTGTGTCTTGCCATTTGATGGTTGCCAAAAGCGATCACTAATCACCGCGACATCTACACGCTCTTGTCAACAGCTGACACATTGTGGCAGACCAATTTGCAGTGAATGCCCTTCTTGTACCGCCCAACAGTAGGTGTACCAGTTAGGAAGTCGATACATGGATAAATACAGTTGAAAATATGCACACACATATTCTACCACTAGGGTGGTCAAAAAAGGTAAAGTTAGAATTTTAATGCTTTTATCCCCTAGGACTGTTCTACATCGAAGAAAATATTATTTTAAATTATTTTAAATAATTAGAGGTCTCTTAAAGCGCGCAAAGTATTCCTTGTATTTTATTTGGGGAAAAACCACTTCGTACATATGGTATAGAATTTTTGAAAATAAATATTTTTCGATCGGAAGGCTCTGGTTCTCTTTAGGAGACTTCCAATAATAATAGCCAATTGTTTATTTAACCATTTTTTAATACTAACGGGCTTTTATTGGTCCTCCATTACATTTTTCGACGGACCTGTAATTATAGTTACTATGAAAAAATCGTTAGATAAAAAACTGGTATTATTATTATTGGGAGTCTTCTGAAGAGAAAGAGAAAAATATTGAATTTCGAGAATTCTATACCGTTTTCTTGAAAAGTTTTTTTTGTCGCTTATGAAATAGATGGGAAAACTTGGAGCGACCTCTAAATATTTTTTCATTTCAAAATAAAACAAGTAATTTTTTACTAAAAAAGCAAAACAGACTTCAATTCTCATATAAAAATTTAAGTGTACCGTTAATTTCTTCATGATCCAATGATCGCATCTAAACCACGTCTGAGGTACCCGCTTTACTTAAAAAAAAGAATTATAGAAATCGGTTAACGGCGTATTGATAACCTTTTACTTTTTTTGAAGTCGGTTAAAAATAGGGGTATATTTTTTCATTATAGCACAGTCATAGTGGTGAGAGCATTACTTTTCACATGCATTTTTGGACCACCCTAGGGTACGTTCATGGTCATAATAAGAGGTACAAGATTCAAAATGATATTTGCAATTTATGTTTATTTATTTGTTTTAATAGTTTTCACTTAAAATATGATTCAATCTATAACATAAACCATATACATAATTAAACGTTTCAAAGTTTGCACAAAGTTCAAAAAAATGAATCAAATTTCTAAACATTTTTATCAAAATTTCAAACTTTTTATTAAGAATTTTAAGTAAATTTTCAAGTATGCAGTTTTGTAGGCCATGTAATTTTCATCTAATAAGGTCCCAGCTTCAAGTCACTAAAAAATACCGTTAATTTTTTATTTGTATGGGGTTTTCTAGCATTCTTCCCATATAACGTATGACCATAATTTATTTTTATATAGAAAAAAATTAAAAAAATTAAGGGTAATTTTTAGCAACTAGAAGCTTAAACCTGTCAAAAATTTAATGGTCTATTAAACTGCATACTCGAAAATTTTCTTAAAATTTTGAATAAATAGTTTTAAATTGTGATAAACATTTCTCTAGGTTTGATTAATTTTTGTGAACTTTGTTAAAATTTTAAAACTTTCAGTTATGTGGTTTAAGTTGGGGATCGAACTATTTTTTAAATAAAAATTTATAAAAATAAATAAATAAACATAAATTGCAAACAATATATTTTGAATTTGGTACCTTCCATTATGACCATGAGTGTACATATGTGTGTAAGTATGTATCCAGGAACGTATATTTGCTGTTACTACAAGCAGACTTGTCAGTGCCCTTGTTGCCCCTACATAACATAATTTTCCTCTGTGACCGTCTTCTTCAACTCGCTCTTCAGCTCCCATGTCAAATCGTAAATTGAGTGCTCAACAACACGCTGACGTTTACACGCTCGGCTCGTTTTGTTGTCAGTTGTATTTCAAGCATAAAATACCGATCACATTTCAAAGGCGCTGTTGCATCAATTTCCCCATCGGCGCTACTGTCTCTCTTTGTTTCATATCTTATTTTATTTTTTACATAT